GTTGGAGAAAGTGAGAGAAAGTGAGAGAAGGGGTTCTTCATGAAGAAACTCCTTGAGCATCTCCATCAGTTGAGTTTTTTATATAGGTTTCTATCATATATAATACTAAAATTTATTACAATTAAATGATTGAATTAAATTTTAATCTTTAAAAAAAATTGGACCACTTAGAAACACACAAATGTGATGAAAGTTTTTTATGGGGTTCTTGTTGAAGAAATCCAACACAATCTCTCTCTTACTTTTTCTAATTTCTTTTTAATTTCTATTTATTTTTTGGAATGGAGATGCTCATAGAAATTCCAAAGATGAGTGTCTTTTTTTAAGTGGTTGATCGTTAACTTTTTTATTATAATTTAAATATATAATCAAAATTATATTAAAATATTAAAATTATATTATGAAGAAACTCCTTGAGTTTCTAAATCATTGAGAGTGCTCTTAATGGGCTAAATCTTGAAAAAGTTTATCTTGTCACATTTAAAGGTTGTCATGTCACAATATATTTTGGGAGAGTGAATATGGAGAAGATATCTAAGTTTTTTAATAAAAATCAATCCCCAAATAATTAGGGAAATTGCATGCTATAACCAAGAACAAAAAAATTAATATAAATCATAGCTATTTAACCTAAATCTAAGGGTTGATATTTGGCCACATATACTAATTTTGTTAATTTTTAAGTTATTAATTTTTTTTGGATTATTCTTGCAAATGACCCAATCATATATAAGGATCTTTAAAACCAAAGTTGGCTTGTGAAGCATATTGAGAAGTTTAAATTAAGGAAAAAAAATGTAGTACGTGGCTTTCAATTATTCAATAGTTACAAGAGTTATGGCCCATTGGGCTTAACTAAACCCTTCACCATCTTATTTAAGGCTAAGATTGTGTAAATGCATAATTACAGAGTAACAAATAATAACAATAATATGTTTTAGAAAGGAAAAAAAACAAATAAATAATATGGCATAATTGAAAATTAGAACAATTATGCGGGCCTTCCAAAAAAAAAATGGAAATACTGTTTTCCTTTGGGGAATTATCTAAAATAAGACTAAATCAAGTTTTTTTTTGTTGACTCTGTCTGTTTTTCCAAGAGCCTTATATATATGGATTTAAGAACAAAAAATTATTGTTTTTATTTTGGGTCAATGGTGGACTTTATAAATCAAAAAATAAAACATTCCACACCGAGAAGTTGTTACAAGCCATCACCGGGAAATTGTTAAAAGCCATCGAGGCTGAAAAGTGAAAGAAAAGATTAGCAATATTGATAAAACATGAATTTGGGAAAACTATGTTAGAAATAAAGCAATTTCGGTCATTTGTAACAGCCTTTAAGACATGTAGGGAGAGACACGATTCCACAAATATGAAAACACGTTCGGATTTGAAGTTTTTGCCGAGATTAAGATGACAACTTTTTTGATTTCCAAGATTATGTAGTGGTCAATTGTTGCTCGTACGATTAATACCATAGTCATCGATACAAAGCTTTGTAAGAAACAATTCATAAAGGAGAAAAAGTTTAATGCTTCTCCATCCAAGTTTTCGTGCTC